CATTACACTTCGAATTTTGGCAAGGAGCGCACCGGCGCCATGGCGTGCGACGACGGCGCGCAGCAGGGCCAGAACCGCGTCTACTATGTCACCCGCGGCGCTGCTGCGACACCCTGAACTCCGGCGGCGAGACGACCTGGCACCGCGACGGAGAAGAATGTCACGTTGGAGCCCAGTTCTACGGAGTCGAGCAGCAGCACGGCGTCCAACCCGAAGGAGTCAGCACCATCATGGCATCAAATTCCATGGAGACGAGCAACCCCACGGCTTTCGCCGCGAGGGAGTCGAGTTCCCCATCGGCTTCCAGCCCCACGGAGTCGAGCAGCACCACGGTGTCCACCACGACAGAGTCGAGCACCTCGTTGACATCCATTTATCGGCAGAGGCGCTCAGTACCACGGCGTCTACTACGACGGAGCCGAGCACCATTCCAGCGACTAGCACCAAGGAGCTCATCAGTTTTGCGGTGCCAACCAGTACCACGGTGTCCACACCGACAGATGCCCAGCACGACGTCGGCCTCCGATTCTACGGCAACGGGCAAAACCACGGTGTCCACCGCGATGAAGTTTAGCACCGAGTCGATACCTGCCCCGCGGATTCGAGCAGCGCCACGGGATCTACCACGACGAAGTTGAGCACCACACCTGTTTCCAGTTCTACGGCGTGGAGCAGAGCCGGGGTGTCTACCACGACGGAATCGGGCACCACATCGGGATCTATGTTCGCGGAGTTGGACAGCATCACGGCGTCGACCGCGACGGAGCCGAGCACCGCGCCAATATCCAGCAACGCGATGCTTATTAGGTCTACGGTGTCGAGCAGCATCGCGGTGTCTACTACGACAGAGTCGAGCACTACGCCGGCAATCCGTTCCACGGGGTCGGGCCACAAGTTCCACAGAGCCGAGCGACCCCGCGGAGGGAGCATCCAGTTCCACGGAGTCGACAAGCACCACGGCGTCCACCACGACGGAGCCGAGCACGCCAGCGTCGAAGTTCACGCGTCGCGCATTGCCACGGCGCCCACCGCGACTGAGTCGAGCCCCCCGTCCGCAGCCAGTTCTACGGAGTGGAGCAGTTCCAAGGCGCCCACTGCGACGGATTCGAGCACCAAGCCGATGTCCAGCAGCACTGAGTTGATCATTTCTTTGGCGCCGAGCTGCACCGCGACGGAGCCGAGCAATGCGACTGCGCCCAGTTCCATGAAGCCGAGCGGCACCTCCGCGCGGCCCTAGAGTCAAGGCACTCCTGCACCTTGGATCCCTGACTTCGGCTGGCATGCCAGGCAAGGGTTTCCCCCGCCCCATCCATTCCCTCGCGCCCTCTGCCCACGCGCCGCGCGGGCGACTCGGATATGTTCGCGGCGTTCGGCCGCCGCCCATTCGCCGCGAAACCCTGGCGCGCCAGCGCCCCCAGACGCTTCGCTCGCTCGATCCCGCAGGCGCCGCTGCTCCGCGGCCCCCCGCAGGCGCCGCGCGCCCAACCGCGCGGCGCCTGAGAGTCATGCTCTCCGCGACGGGCCGTGCTTTTTTCGATCCGACATGAATAATCATTTCCTTCCGTCGCTCTAGCCCCAGTGACAGATCATCGGCATCGCGGCTCCGCATTTGGCACCATCATCGCTGACGTCGGCATCGTCGCCCCAGCGGGCGCGTCCGCATCGGGTGCCCCCGCCCATTTCAGCGCGCGCCCATTGCGCGTGGGGCTCTCCTCCCAGGGCCCAAATAGGCGCGTTCGCACGCGGGCCCCCCGCTCACGTCAGCGCACCCCGCGCGCGTTTCGTGGCCTCGCAGATGGCCCCGCCGAAGGCGCCAGCGGACGCGTTTGCATAGGGCTCCACGGCTTGTCTCAGCGCAGCCGTCAGACGCGTCGCAGCCCCATGGGGGGCCCCGCCCCAGCCCCCAGCGAGCGCGTCCGCCTCGGCCCCCAGCGGGTGCGTCCGAATTTGGGATTCTCATTCGTCTCAGCCCCGCCACCCCACGCCGCGCGCGGCGCGGGCCCGCGGGCCGCTGCGCCTGACAGCCCGATGAGACTCCAGCGCGCGAGTTCGCACCGGGGGGGGGGGCGCTCGCAACTGCAGATATTTCGCGCGTCTCGCGGCCCCGCGGGAGCTCCGCGCATTGCCCCCGGCGGGCGCGCTCGCGCAGGGCCCCCCCGCGCATCTCAGCATATATGTCACGCGCTTCGCGGCCCCATCGGGATCAACTCCAAAAGCCCCATTTGGGCGCGTTCGCGCCATGGGGGCCCTGCCCGCGCGCTTCGCGGCCCCGCGGGGAGCTCCGCGCGACGCCCCAGCGGGCGCATCGGCGAATGGGCCCCCCGCCCACTGCAGCGCCCCCCGCGCGCTGCCCAGGCCACCGGGCCCCGCGCGAGGCGAGCGCGGCCGCTTTCGCGCGGTTGGCCCCCGTTCATTTTAGCGCGCGCGCGCGCCCACAGCCCGCGGTCTTCGCGGCCGCGGAGGCAGCCCCCCCTAGTTTACTTCGCGGCGCGAACGTTGG